AGCATTTTTCTCAGGCTGTTGTGTAGTTTTAGTAATTTAACCCTCAGTGCAAAGAATAGGTTATTTTCATTGCTCTGAAAGTGAATAATTGAACATAAACAAAGAAGGCTGAGAAAAACGCATATTTTAGAGGAAAATTTCAGACGGCACTCAGAGGTTTTTGCATTTGAACTTTTTAATTTTATTTTATTACAGTTTTATTTCATTTAACATTTTTTAAAAGGTTTTGTTAACAACAAAACTGATGTAGGGTATTATAGGGCTAATTATAGGGTATGTTTGCCCAAAATATTATGTTATTTATTACTAACCATCGTGTGTATCCGAAACCCCTGAGACCCTCGTTCATCATCAGAACACAAATGAAGATATTTTAGATTACATCTGAGAACAAACACATATACACATATACACAAATGGTCCGGGCATGTTCAGTCCCGAAAATACCAAAAATTATTCTCAAAACATAGCATATGGGTCAGTTAACACATTATGAATATGATCATAATTTCATAATGTTATAATATGACTTCAACTGTTTCTTCTCATCAGTGTCAGTATTGGAATCACATCAACAAGACTACTGTGCTGTTTTTGTGTGTCACACTATAGGTCGCACTGTTGACAAATATATTTCAGCTTTAGTGAACTATCACTGGTGTCACGGTGATGCAGTGGGTTGCACGATTGCCTCACAGCAAGAAGGTCACTGGTTCAAACCTCGGCTGCGTCAGTTGTCTTTTCTCAGTTTCCTCTGGGTGCTCCAGTCCAAAGATGTGGTATAGGTGAATTGATTAAGCTAAATTGTCTGTAATGTATGTGTAAATGGGTGTGTATGAATATTTCCCAGTGATGGGTTGCAGCTGGAAGGGCATCTTATCCAACATTAGCTGGATAAATGGGCGGTTCATTCCACTGTGGCGACCCCAGAGTAATAAAGGGTCTAAGCAGAAAAGAAAATGAATGAATGAATGAATGAATGAACTCTAAGTTTCCTGTGCCTGATACTTTTACTGCCCATTGCATGCTAATGCACGTTGAAGCCTTTAGGGTGGTTTAAAAAAAAATGGCCATCTTTAGCTTTGACACCCAGGAACAGACTTTTATTTTTTAGATTTTTTGTCCCACAGCTGGCTTTATCTGATTATGCACAAACAGCTATTGTTTATTTCTCATGAACATGGCTGCCAATGGAGCTTCAAACACTGATACTCTCCCACACTGAACTAAGATCCAGCTGTGAACTGGAAGACTTGAGGTTTGTATGACAGAAAAAAGCAAGACTTACAAAGGCTCTTTGCATCCATCCAGCATTCAGTGACTCCAGAGATGCGAAATCTGCTGAACTATGGTTTCAGTATAGCTTCAGAAAGATGCCAACAAATGGTTCCAGTAAGTAGATTATACTGTTTATTTTGGCTGACGTATCATGGGCATCTGTGTGCCAAATCACACTAGGACAGACTGCTGTTTCAGTCATGAAATAGTCGCTGAGCTCCAAAACCATGTGTTGATATGAGCTATTTAGAAAAAAATACTTAAGGTACACTTACAATTTTTTGCCAGCTCCATCTTAAAAAATAATGGGATGTTAACAAACAGCAGTGCCAAGGGGTTCATGCATGCCATTATGCAAAAAAAGACAGCGGGCAGTGTGGACTAATGTTTGCACAGACCAACTGGATGGAATAGTAACCACCTGCTCACAACTTGAAGGCATTGCACTGCTGTTGGCCATTACCACGACTGCTGTGTCTGTGCATGACTCCAGTGTCTAGAAATTTCTGGAGGATTAGAACAGACAAATGTGCCGAGTGACCAAACATGCCATTGTGTGTCTGTTTCTGTCAAGTGCCACATTTTATATAATTGAAAAATCTAACCTTAAGGCTGTCCATCTCCAGTTTCAAAACCTCATCAATTTTTCCACATGGATGCAAAGTTTTTTGTCTTGATGTAATGCCAGTGATCCAATGTCTCTCAGAAATAAACCAAAGCTTAAGATTAAAATGCCAAAAGTTACAAAAAAAAGCTTTTGATGTACTGTCCCATGTGGTTGAATTACTTATTTTGTTTGTTATCTGCTGTAACAATTTATAAATTTAGCTTTTTAGAAATCTCTGGACAATGGGCTATATGCACAGCTAGTGTTTTTCAGCCAATGATGAACTTCCGGTGAAAGCTTTATGTGACTATTTTCAATTTCATAAGGTTCCTTTTAAAGCATCAATGTTGTAATGTAATTCAAATATAATCAGTTAAATAGATTTAAGCACTCATTTAGTTGTTAAAGCATAAAAAGAGATGAAAAAGCATTTAACCCAGGCACAGAAATTCCATTGAAAATACTAGAGTAAACTTAATTTCCATATTTTACAAACATGGCATGAAAAATATAATTTAATGCAGTGCTTCTTGTTTGGTCTGATACCCACTTTATGTTGTATCTCAGCCAGGCAGTGAAAATCGCAGTTTTTTAAGTAAATCCGTAAGGGATGACGATTAACAATATAGTTTTAGGAAAAATTTGTAAATCCATAAGGAGCAGAAATCAATAGGCTATGTTCACGCTTTTAAATTTAACCCTACAAAATCTGAAACACGATTTACCCAACCAATGAAGAAAATGGTTGATTGCAAAAAGTTCTAAGCCATTTGAAACATATTAGGCTAAGAATGAAAGCAGGCAGGCAGTAGGCTACGTTTTCTTATGCCAATGAGACATCAAAGTACACAGGAGTTTTACAGTATGTGTTTGATTTTTTTCCAGGATAATTAATCGTTTTTTTTTTTTTTTTTTTTTTTGCCTTTCAAAAACATAAAAATTTAGGCCAAACTCAATTCCAACATAATTCTTCTCAAACTGGCTGAGACATGTCAAATAGGCTATACAATGAATTAAATATAAAGCCATACAATTACACAAAACAAACAAACAAACGAAAAAGTTTAAAAAACAACCTACCATGCAGACATCAAACAGAAACTCAAGGGGTTATTCATTCATTCATTTCTTTTCTTTTTTCGAGAAAAGAAATGAGCCTGTAAGGTTTGTCCCAACAAATAGAAGGAAACATTGAACTATATTGTTTTATCCAGTTGCCCACATCAGACCAGAAAGGATTAACCAAATTAAAAGGAAAAATAGATGTTCACTATTGCAGAATGATTCAATTAGGTAAATCTGAATCATTGCGAGTGAGCAAAGTTCAAAAGAGTCAGTTCCGGTTCAATGACTCGGTCAATTTTCCCGCTTCTGCCGTGATTGATTCAAACCAGTTCAGTCTATTTTCGAAAGAATCGATTCAGAGAACAATTCATTCATAACGTTGCTCAAGTTTCGCGCTTGGCTCACGCCAGGCGAGGTGTCGGCGGTAACTATTCATTCAGGAGCGGTGAAGTTGCAGCTATGTTTAAACATCTGAAGCGCGTGAAATCAGGTATTTCGAAATGTGGAAATCCAAGAACTCTGTTATTTCATTTAAACAAATGCCTTTTAGATTTATTTCCCCTCTGACGCTGATACAGCGTCGACGCAGGGTTTTGTTAAAATAGTCACGACGTTCATGGAGACTGTGCCGATGTTTGTTTGCATTTTAAAGTGCGGTTTAACAGCTTCAAGCTTATCCAGTGGACCTAAAAACTATATTCTTTCTGATTATACAGTATTGAAGGCTACTTTCGATACACTGATGGCTTCTTTTATTATTTTAGACCAGTGGTTCTCAAACTTTTTTCATCAAGTACCTCCTCAGAAAAAAATAGTCTCTCCAGGTACCACCAAAATGAGCAGTGTTGAAATACAGTAGCGTAGTAGGCCTAGTAAAGCAGCTACAACTCTGCACAGTTAAAAATGTGGCAGATTGCCTCAGAAAAATAGGCTATATGTCAAATATGACTTATTATATACATCATTTCTGATAAATTTTGAAATGTGTCTAGCATGTACATGACATATTTCATTCCTCCGCGTACACTAGTGGTACATGTATTACAGTTTGAGAACCACTGTTCTAGACCATTCATTTTATAAAAAGTTAACTCTTCCTGTTTAGGTTTGTTTTAGTTTAATTTGGAAAACAGCAACATTATTTCTGCATTAAAATGATTAGACTTAGATACTAGCCCCTTTCACACAGTGATACCGGTAAATATCCGGAAAATTTACGGAACGACTTTACCGGTATATACAAAAAAGCGCTGTTCACACAGGCGAGGACGTTACGGAATTTTTCCGGAAAAGAGCATTCACACATCCATTCCAAAATACCGGTAAATTCTGACATCATTCACCACAAATGAGCTTTAAACGGCTGCGCTTGTATTTGTAAACATTTGACTAAATTACAAACTCTTTTGATGATCAATATTGTAAACAACTTTCACAGGATCATATTCGCATGTCGAGATGTTCATAATATGTGCGTGTGCTGGCGCTTACAGGCTGTTTCATGGGCACACGCAAAGCTTGAAGGTAAACAAACAACGGCTTATCATAAGCATCTTATCGATGATTATTTGCACAGTTGGCATTAAGGAGAACATATAAACGTGATCTGACTAACTTCTAGCAGCTAAATGTGTCTGGAAAAATATTCAAAGGCTTTTATTCTCACAAACCGCGCGGACGTAAATGCGTCTGACTGTTGTGATTGGCTAAAGCAGAAGTCTTACGTCAGCACGTTCTAGACGTGCACGCGCTTATTCCGGAAATATTCCTTCTGCGTTCACACAGCGCAGCTTTCCGGCAAATTGCCGGTAATGTTACAACTTCTCTTTCCGGAAAATAGCCAGAACGAATTTACCGGTAATTTCAAAAAGGACCTGTTCACACATACAACCTTTCCGGAAAATTGCCGGCAATTTTCCGGAAAGGTCTGTATGTGTGAAAGGGGCTAATGACTTACTAAACCAGTTTTCATATATTTTGAAGTACAAATGTACATTTATATTTAGTGGTTTTAAAAGTTGCCGGATTTTAATTCAGTTTTTATATTTGTTCACAGCACTTAAGAGGTCATTTGAAGTGGAGGAGGATACATCCACAAACCCTTCCCCGCTTTCCCGTAGAACAACCAACCCTCTGCGCTCCTCCGGCACTTCATCAAGCAGTCGTTTCCATGACCTGAGATCCCTGAACTCTGAGCCCATGTCCAGGCACGCTTCAGATTCCTCCTCCAACCAGCGCTCTCCAAAGTCCAGCCTGCGCCGTGTGGAGTTATCAGGAGGCCGTGTTCCAGAGACTGTGTCACGTAGGACAGAGATCTCCATTGACATCTCCTCAAAGCAGGTGGACAGCTCGCCCAGTCCTGGCATTGCCCGTTTTGGCTTAAAAAGACCTGAAGTCTCGCTTCAAAGCAAAGCCACAGATGCACCTCTCCACAGAAGGGCTGAAGGTAACCACAGCAGAGCCCAGGAACCCCCAGCACCTCCCAGAAGAGCTGACCCGCCAGTATCTACATCCCGGATCCCTGAGCTGTCCCAAAGGCGAGCAGAGCCTCCCAGCCCTCTTGACATCTCCGCTCCATCTAGACGGGCTGAGATGCACGTTAACAGACAGCTCTCGGACACACAGTCTCCTGCAAGAGAGTCAGAGAACAGCTTCACCTCGGCAGCCAGCATCACTCCTACCTTCAATGAATACAAAACCCCTCCATCAGTGCATGAAGCCCCCATAAGGCCTCTTGAGAGTAAGTCACGTGTGCTTTTTCATTGCTAAGCTGCTGTTTGGCTAGATGCCTACATGATCTGGATCTGATGTTTACATTGTGAAGTGTGCTTGGAGTGCCTGCTGAGATTGTATTGTATACAGTGGGGTTCAGAAGTGTGACTGTGACCGCTTTGCACTTTTCTAGCTTGAGTTTTTGGTCATCAGTTACTGTGAGTTATTAGCAGCAGAACAGTTTGAGTAAATTCAGCACTATTTTCAAAGCAACTTGTTCGTAGCACAGACTATAACTTGCATTTTTTTTCTTTTACCTTATCAGATTGCTAGTGCAGAATTAGTTTATTTAATATCGCAATATTTCTTAATACAATTTTCAAAATCACAAAATCTCCATATTTGTAGGTAAAGCTGTGCAATATTGACAATTATATTTTAATTAAATTTAGCATTTCACTGATAATGACAGTTTTTACCATCTAAAAATGAACTATTACAGAACTCCCTAAATAATAGAGCTCTATTAAACAGAAGCTCTTGTCTGAAGATGATGTATTTAATAAGCTTAGAACAAAACAAAATCTAAAATAAATTAGTTAATGTTAAATGAAGGATTTAAAAAGCTATTTATATCCTGAACAGCTTTCCACATGCTTCATTAGCTATGTTTCCATCCAAAGATTGCAGTTCAGTTTATGGGCAAAGCAGTAATATCACATATAAGACGTGCGAATAAAGCTATGTTTCCATCCAAATAGTCAAAGAGAACAAAATAGTCACTTCCTGATTAACTGGTAGCAAATATTAAAAGTAAAAATGGAATTTGCTGTGGTAGAAGAAGCTGCGTGAATCTTTAACTTATTTAATAAATGACTTGCGCCTCAGTAGACGATGCCGACACGCAATGAACGAGTGGTGGTGTTTGAAGTCATCACACACAGAGCACAGACACTCTTGACAATTCTGGAGGTAATTATTAATATATTAACACTGATACTGGCGTTTTAGAATGATCAAAACAACATTTCAGCTGTTTTACAGTGTGAAATCAGCCTGCTACTGTATCCATTCACACTCATTTTTATCATCACATGAACGTTTATAACAATATCACATGAATTTTTTTTTCTTGCCATTTTCATCAAGCTTTTATGCACATATTGGTGCATAAAATTGCACATGGTTATAAAAATTGGGTGGATGGAAACGTAGCTGTTGTCTTCTAAAGAAAGTAAGTGATTTCACAAAATACCACAGTTTTTTTTTTCTGTGCATGTATCAATAAGTTATGCCAACATGTTTAATTTTTAAATTCGCTTTTTCAAGTTAGCCATGTTTCAAAATTCATTCATTTTCTTTCCGGCTTAGTCCCTTTATTAAATCTGGGGTTGCCACAGCGGAATGAACCGCCAATTTATCCAGCATATGTTTTGCGCAGTGTATGCCTTTCCAGCTACAACTTATCTCTGGGAAACGTCCATAAATAGCCTACCCAATTCACCTATACAGCATGTGTTTGGACTGTGGGGGAAACCGGAGCACCCAGAGGAAACCCACGCTAACACGGGGAGAACATACAAACTCCACACAAAAACTGACCCAGCCAAGGCTCGAACCAGCGACCTTCTGGCTGTGAGGTGACAGCACTACCTACTGTGCCACCATGTCGCCGTTTCAAAATTCAGATTGAAATAACTTAAGTTAACTTGATCCCATTTAATTTTGTTAAGAGCAATTGCAGTTTTATTAAAGATTATACATATTAGGGTTGGGTTGATAGATGATGTCATCGTCCTTGGCTGATAGAAATAATGATGCTGAGCCGGCATCGCCACCCACTCATGAAAAATGCCCACTTAATTTAATTAATCTTGTCTCTATCTAATGACTCTTCTGTTTTTTTTTTTTTTTTGAAATCTATCAGGTAAGGTGTCATAGCATCAGTACAATCTTTCATGCTTGTATTTAGTAATTTTATCGTAAACCTCAGATACTGTTGGTTGGTTGTGCACCTTTTTTTACCAACCAAGTTTGCCGATGCCATTATACCGACATTCTGCCTATTTATGCCAGAGTCCTGAGGAAAATGTGATTGACGGGTGATAATTTGTTTAAATTACGATTTTTAATTACAAATTATGATTTGGTTATGAGTAAAACAAAAAACATGTGGGTCAGGTAGTTGAAACAAGCTACAAATAAACAATTCATCATGAATTAATTAATCGTAAATAATTCATTCACAGCCCCCTACGATGCCGATGCCATCGTCCATTGCGATGTTACAGATTAGACATGGTACGATGCCAAATTGTTCGACATTGCCCAACCCTAATACATATTAAACACCCCTAATTCCAAATTTAAATAAAGTTTTAAAATTCCAATGGTCAACCCAGACTTTTGACCCCCACTGTATATAGTCATTTTTGTTGGAATCAAGGTGCTTTAAAGCTTTTGTGTTTTGAGAATTGTGGACCCATGAGAGTGCCGTCTTTTTACGCACACTTCAGGTCGAGTAGTGATCAAATCACACAGCCTAAGGTAATGAGAATAACAGAAACTCCTCATAGGAAAGAATGTTGGAGCTGTATCATTGAGTGAGATCAACAGATCTGATGCATTGTTTTAGCCCTGGATCAATCCTGAGATTAGCAAGATTCCTTTCAGGCATTAAAAAAAAGACAAAAACATTCCCTGTAACCCTGTCTACTCTTGAAAGACGGGCGTCAGACTGTTTATATGATCAGATTTTCCCGTTACTGTTTTAAAGTTCTAAGTAATCAAAGCAATGGCTATTCTTGTACTTGGTGTACTGAAAGGCCTGTTTTTGGGGGCCGTATTAGTTCTGAGTGTAACCCTGGCTCAGAGACCATATTCCAAAGTCATGACTAAAACTGTGCATTGAGCCAACCTAGAAGAGGATCAGTGAGGCTTTAACACACCAAATAAAGAAGCATTTATGTAAATCTTGGACACAATACAATAGTTTTCCTTAACCTTCTGCTCTCTCGCTCTTCTGCAATTATCATGAACTTTCTGTATTGCTCTCAATGTTGAAAAGATAGTTTGTTTAAAAATGAGTCATTCTCCCGCATGTCATTCCAAGCCTATAAGCCTATCTTTAAAGCAGAAGCTTAATCTAAGTCTCCTGAATAGACAATTATCATTTTGCATAATGGACATATTTCATAAAGGCTTTTATTCACTTTAAAACTTCAGGCAATATGAAGCACCTCAAATAAGACTAAAGAAAGTTCAACCATTCTGATGTTAAATAAAAAAACAAAAAATCTGATCTGCTTTTTACACTACACTTAACCCTGGGCTGTTGTTATTAGCACCGCTAATTTATTTTGTCTTATTTCTAGTCCAAATATCAAAATTCTTAGACCAAGTAAAAATATTGTTTAGTTTTCAACGTCAGACAAAATAAGGAAATTGTGTGCCAGTGGGGTAAGTGAAATTTTGTTTTCGCTTTGAAATGTAAAAAGACAAAAATTCAAAGAAAGAAATATTTTTTCGCATTAATCATGTAAATTCCATATAATTACAGTTATAAAGAAATACAAATATGTAGCTACTCTTCAACTATAATTCAGACTGGACATGTATTTGCGATGTATTTGCATCTCTTTGTGATGTGACTATTGAGAATGCGCACATTGCGATATCAATGCTAAAATGATACATTGTGCAGCCCTAATAGGGAATGAAGACAGCCAATTAGTAATTGAGCAGCAAGACATCACATCACAAAATGTGCTGGCATAAACAGAAGCCGGTAAGGGGTAACGTTAAGTAAAAACAAATCTAAAGAATGTCAAACAGTAAGCATATACCATTACAGATAAGAATATTGGCCCTGGGTTTAGAAAAGTGTAAAGTGGAGTTGCATGATTCTGGCTAAAATTAGAATCGCAATTTTTTTATTATTTTTTTTGCCTAAAATAAAGTTCACAATTTTCTCACGATATAAAATAAAGGTTAATATGAGTGGGCTATTATTATTGTTATTATCAAACATGTGGTAAACAGGACTTGCGCAGCCACTTTTTGCTTCTCTCCTGAACTTGAAAATATGATTGACAGAAACGTAGAAATGCTGGATTAAGATCGTCTAGGGAGTCGAATCGAGTTCTTTTTACGATTAATTGTGCAGCTCTAGTGTAAAGTAACTGTTAATGAATCCCGGCATTATTTGTTAACCCCCAGGTATACAGATAAACCAGGATCCAGTCTATCCAGAGTTTAGGGTGACCCAAGGTTAACAATTTTAAGTGTTAAAAGCCTTAAAGTGACCAAATTTTGTTTGAGTTTTGAAGATGAAGAAAAGTCTTCTGTGTTTGCAATGACACAAGGATGAGTAAAACGATGACTTCATTTTCATTTTTGGTAACTCAACTTCATCTAGTTCCAACATTTGCTATTTCCAGAGCTTATGTTTTTCTCTCAGTTACTTTAAGTGCTTTCATTACTAAGCATCTGTTTCATATTGATGTTATTGGTCCAAGGTGTACTCCATCAGATTCCACATTTGCATATGAAAGATAAATAAGTCTCTGATGACTTTTCTCTCCCCTCTGGCTCAGTTGTTGTGAGATTGTGAGAGCACAGTCTTGCTGGTTTGCGACACATGCGTGCAGCTGGTGGGTGTGGCTCCAGATCTGGAGTTCATAAAATATGCTGCATATAAATAGACACCGTTTAAATTTCAACTTTTAGACGGTATACAGAAGGGGTTGTTGTGAACTGGTGTGTGTCTTGTGATGTTTACTTAGAAGTGCTCCATTGATTCACTTTGCTTCTGATACAGTACTTGTTTTTCTCTATGTTGTTATTGTGAGTGCTTGTGTCTTTGTTTGACCCTAATGGAGTCTACTTCTCTTGAGTTTTTGAGTATGAAAGTGGACAGAAACTGGAAAAGAGATGGAAAACCTTTTCAGGATGTGATCCAGGAAGCCTGCGGCACATTTGGGTTTAATTAGTGTTCCTGCAGAGCCTCAGTGTGGATGCAGTGAGCAG